ATGTCGGTATGGGCTAAGCTTACACGTTAGACTCCCAGAGTTAAGGGCAGGGCCTGACTGATGAAGTATATATCCATATTTTCACTTGTCTCATGTTTTAGAAACATGTTAAAAACTACATATTTGTAGCCTTTTTAAAATTTTATTAAAACCATTTTTGTACTCAACCATCTTTCCTGATTTGTGATTAGAACTTAGAATATATGTATTAGTTGAGATTACTCTTAATACCTTTTAACCTTATTTAGTTTTTAATATGATCTGGTATAAATTGCAGCATTTTCATGAAAATCTAGCAACATAATAGGCATTTATTTTATTTGAACCTACCTCTTTTATCTTGGAAATCAAAGAGACAAAATGGACTTGTGTTTGTGAAACATATTCTAAAGTACAGTTTCAGTTATATTACTTACGCTTCCTAAAAGTCTCAATATTTTTATACTGTATATATGATAATCATGGAGCTCTATCTTCAGGGTTAGTCGCACTTTTGAGTAATTCATAAAACATTAAGGTATATTTTTAGCTTTTTTTACTCAAAAATATGGACATGAACTTCTACTGTTTATGAAATCTCTGCTAGTGAAAACCATGAAAATATTCCTAGCTCATCATGAATTGAAGTTGTTGCTTGTGGAACATTTGTTAGGCACGAATGTGATTTATCTGCTTCTTGTATCTTTTAAAAAAATGATCTTGTGTCTTTCAGAATAATGTCCTAAATTGAAGATTGCTTGTTTCTAGCATTTATGCATATTTACTTTCTATTTTGTATTAAAAATGTTTATTCTTAACATGACTTGTTTCCTGATTTTTGAAACAATTTGTAAGAAGAGCAAAAATTGTGTCAGATGTCTCATATCATTGCAGTGGTTTGAACAGTGCTCCTCACTTCTGGCTCCATCTTTCTAAATACTTTGGCCTTCCGGGATCAGCTTTAGCTGCTGTCTGTATTGTATGTTTTGGCATAAGATGATGATGATGATGATGATGATGATGATGATGATGATGATGATGATGATGTGTGTGTGTGTCTGTGTGTGTCTGTGTGTGTGTGTGTGACATCCAAATTAACATTTACCATTCAAGGTAGCAGTGCTGGGAGTTCAGCTCTGTGCCAAGGAGGATTCAGAGCTGTAGTATTAAGAGTGGTGCATCTTCTTGTGGAATATGTCTGTAGGAAAATTACTAGGAACAAAATTTAAGTGAACTTACTGCTAAACAATTTTAAAGCTTTTAAATAATGTATATTATAAGTAAATAAGAAATGTGTTGTAGAAAATCTGCATTCCAACTGCAGGACTACTGCGACATCAGAAATCAGGCATCAGTCCTGCTCTGCTGCGACATGGGGATGAAAGTGTGACGTGGGTTTTCTCCTCCCCAAACAGGAATTGTTCAAGCTCTTTTGGCCTTTGGGAATTTCCTCTTTGGAGAAGAGGGACAAGAGACCCACGCTGTTTGTGGAGGTCACCCGGCACCCCATCCTGGCCCTCTGCCGGCCTCTGAGGGAGGGGAAGCTGCCCCACCGTGTTCTGTCTGCCTTGGCTTCCGTGCACGGTAGAGCTGGGCTAAAGTCCTCTCCGACCGCAGTGTGAATGGAGATGCCTGCCTGTTCACCACCTGCTGGAGGAGTTCAGGAAGCGTAGCAGAAGAATATGTTCTTGGGTTGTCAGTGGGACCAGACAGGACCACCGCTGTGGCACAGTCTGCTCTGGAACTGGGAGTGCCTCAGGTTCTGGCTGTAGAGGCATTTATCCCATCAGCCCTCACTTCTTTGTCCTCTCCACCAGTATTTATTATGTACCTACTGTGTGCCAGGCTCCTTTAGAGTCAGAGCACATTAGCACTGAGTAGAAGACAGCTTTTCATCATGGAGATTATCTAGTAGGGGAGAGAGACAGACAAGAATGTCACAAATGTCATTTTGAAGGTCCCAGGTGCATGAGGCAGCACAAGGACTGCTGCCGCCAGTTGAAAAAGGAGAGAGGCAGCCTGCTGAGAAGGTGGTAGTTGAAAGGATTTGGGGGCTGGACTACCTGGTGTCTGGGAAGAGCATCCAGGCAGACAGAGGGCCTGTGCAGTGGTCACAGGCAGGAGGTGCGCGGAGGGGGCCAGGCTGTGGCTGGTGGCAGCGAGAGGCCAGTCTGCAGGGGCAGAGAGGCAGGCAGGAGGGAGGCGGATGAGCCCTGCCTTCCACTTTGCCGTTTCCCAGCAGTCACAGTTCCTTGGGGAAGTTCCCCAAATGAGATTCCAATGGCTCTCCTCTGGGGATGGGAGTCTTGTTGTTGCAAACATTGTTGAAAACCGGCCCCCTTTCTGGTAATCATTTCTAGTGTGGCGGAGTAGTTTTCCCCACTGCTGTCCCAACACGTTGGTCTGTCCTCCAGCTAATATGTCTATTACCTTTCATTCTCCAGGGTAAATTTTAATTTTTAAAAGCAGAATTAACTTATTTTCACAAGAATTACAGAGAATTTAAATCTTAGGAAATTAACGAGGCTACGGGTATCCTCACTTCTTTCCCAGGTGTCTGTATCTGCTCGGGGACTGTTTGGCTTTCCAGTAATTTATATGGGCTTTGCAATGTTGGAAAAAAAATCTTTTTTGGGCACTGTCCTGTCTTGAATTCACTTCCACAGAGTCAGATGACCACAGTGGCTTGTTACTCCGGAAAGGGGGAGTTGGTTTGGTCCAAGGATTTTATAGCATTCTGAAGCGCCTTTCAAACCTAGGCTTATGGCAGAGCCCCAGCTTTCTCTACCAGTGATGTCTTCCACGAGTTTCTACCTGTCTTGGGTCACTGCTCCACAGAGCAGTCTCTGCCACGGCTCAGGGCGAATCCCTCTGAACCCTGGCACCTGTAGGCAGTGTCTACCCAAGATGGGCACCGATCAGCCCATCTTTCACATTCTACAAACGCTCCCTGCATGAATCTTAGTGCAGCAAGATGTACAAAACATGGCACTTCTGATTTCCTTAAATCTGGCGGGAAGCGGTGCCACGGAGTCGTGCTAGCGACCCAGCACCTTAGCATCTTGGCCCCTGTAGACATCCAGTCGCGGTTCTCCTCAGTCACTGCCGAGGGCCCTTGGTTCCAGCCTGCATGGCCCTGGCTCCAGCAGCTGCACCACGCTCGGCACGGGAGTGGATGGGAGAAGGTGACCGCGGTGGGCCTTTCTGTTCTGGACACGAACGGGGCTCACTGGCTTCCCCAGTCCCTGTCCTCTTTGACCTTAAGAGCCCCCTCTGCACTTCCCTCTTGGACCCCCAGCATCTGTTCTGCGGGCAACCTGAAGTGTTCCAAAAGACAGAAGAGGGTTTCATTGACAGTGGTTTCTGTTTTTGCTTAAGGGAAGGAAATGGTAAAGGCTTACCTCCTGGCCCGACATGAGACGAAAGGGAAATATAAGGGGACTAAACACACGTTGGTATTTCACTAGGTTCCCTTAGTATAGGCTCCCAAATGTCTCCTTGTGTCTCAGGAGGAAGCCTCGTGTGCCGTAGGCCGTGGGTTCCGCACACAGAAGGCCTTGCTCCATTCACTTGTTTTAGCCTAAAGAGCAGACCATCCCACCTATTGACTGCAAGTCCCCAAAACTTCCCTGATATCTGCCATGTAGCTTCATGGCCAGGTAGTTCAGTAAACAGTGTCCAGGGGGAATAATAAACTACGCAACTGAGAGTTGATGGTTTTCAAGAGCATGGGCAAGAGATGTGGAAGGGAAAATTAGTTGCAATAGGGAAAAGAACAATGATTCAAACCACTGAAATTCTGAATCTGAGACCCCAGCGCTGGGGAGGCTGAAAGCAGGAGGATCACTATTGAGTCTGAGCTGCAGAGTGAGAAACTATACCAAATACGTCAGCAAGCAAGCAAGCAAGCTATCCTGAATCTTAGCTGAGTGATGATTTGCCCTTTACGGAACACTTCCGCCTCATCCTCTTCTTTAACCCATCATTGTTCCAGGCTCTGTTTCTGCAAGAACCCAGATTATGGCTGCCCACCAAAGACAGCTCTGGAAATAGAAAAAGTCATTTAGTGCATAGAAGATGGAGGAAAATACCCAAAGAAGCAGCTAACAGTTACAAGTAGCAAGCAAGACTAGAGGTGGGAAGGGGTGGAACGGAACACTATGCCTTTAATTATATGCTATACATATGTTACTTCAGTTTAAGCTAAAACAATTATTTAAGACATAGAGACAATCAGAATAATGCAAGAGGGAGCCAGAAGGACAGAACGCAAATGGAGTGGAGGACCTGGGCTGCAGCTTCTACCACTTCACTTCACTCCAGGGTGTCAGTCGTGTTCAAAACACACCGTAGGGCCAGACAGATAGCTCTGAGGCATAAGTGTCTGCAGCCTGTCAAGCGCAAGGTCCTGAGTTCAATTCCAAGTACTACAAAACAAACAGATCAGCGCAAACCAAGGTGCACGACTGTATGGATCTGAACAGACGTGAAATAGTCTGTACAGAAAATTTAAAATCGTTTTACTACCTTGATCATTGTGACAGGGGTTGAATATGCTTCCCACCTGGCGTCTTTGCCATTGTATGAGAAAAAGC